AATATCATCTAATTTAAAATGTATTATTGACAACGGTAAGAAAAATAGTACACTACATGATTTATAATATAAAAATTAATAAATATAATAAAAGATTTGGTTATCAATGTAAAAATTATTAGAATGCGTACCAATTTTCCTTAATTTTTTAAGTTTCTAGAATAAATTAGTGGAAGAGATTGTTAGTAGAAAGAGAGAGATTTCAAATGGCCTCAATGTATGAATCCTATCTTTAAATGAATATTATTAAATTTATGTTAAAGACCATCATGTTATAAAAAAAATATATATAATTAGACCATTTATTCTTAGGTTGTATTAAGAAATACCTTTTATTTTTTTGACAAAAAATACTTATTGTGTTATCTTTTATTTTTTTTTACAAGAAAAATGTGATATTTGTTGATTATCTTTTCTTTTCTTTTTTTTGACAAAAGAAGAAGATGTTGTACTACATTTTTTTTTGCTGGTTGTATTATTTTTTATTTTTTTTACAAGAAAAATAAAAAAATTACGCTGCCAAAGTACATTTTATTTTTTTATTCCTTTTGTTTTATTTTTTTGCAAGAAATACTTGTTATATTATCTTGTATTTTTTTTACAAGAAAAATAAAAAAATGTTGTATTATCTTTTTTTATCTTTATCCTGAAAAGCCTTTAATTTTATATTTTTTCTATTTTTTTACAACAGTATTTTCTGCCTTTGTTTATTTTTTTGACAACAAATTGTATTTTTTTTACAAGAAAAATAAAAAATTGTTGTATTATCTTTTTTATCTTTATCTTGAAAAGCCTTTTATTTTATATTTTTTTTATTTTTTTACAACAGTATTTTCTGCCTTTGTTTATTTTTTTGACAAAGAAATATTTTTTGTATTTTTTTTACAACAAAATTATTTTTGTATTTTTTTGTTGTACGCTAAGGGGTTCGAACTCAAAAAAATTTTTGTTGTGGGTTAAGGGGTTCGAACTCTAAACGTCCACCTCTATAATAATATATATTCAATCATATTGCTTTAATGATTTTTTGTGAGAATTATCCTACAACGAAGGATAAGTGTCACTTGGTTCTCTATAAAGTCATGTGTAATAGACACTCCACTGCGCGTGTAGAAAAGTGAGGGGGCAGACGTGAGGTGAGTTACCACATGTTGCTCCGGTAAGGCTGCCACGTGTTGCTCCTGTGAGGCGACCACACGTGCTACGTGTTGCTCCAGTGAGGTGGCCACGTGTAAACCCAAAAAATACAAGTTTTTCGGTGAGACTCAGGATTCACCATTGAGAATCGCCCGGTTCTCTCTGGACACGCGAGATTCACTATTGGGAATCGCCCGATTCTCTCTGGACACGGACGATTTTCGGTTTTTCGTGGAACCGGCTCAGTAGCAGACGACTCCCAAGACGAACCGGGTGAGTCCGTCTCGACTCGGCGAGTTTTCAAACACTGGTTTATAGTTTGAACACCTCACGTGTTAGAAAAGAGGGAAATTCACAAAAAAATCCTCTTTTATTTTTCAAATTTTAAAATAGTATAAAGTGTCGATAAGGATGAGGCGCACTGGAAAAATGCATTAAAAAAAAAAGTTGTTTAATATTAAAAAGCTTTCAAATTGATCATCTCGACTTCGAAATATATGATACAAAAAAAAATATTTCAAGTCATAAAAATAGGGCCATTTTATAACCTATTATTTAGACTATTCATTTTCAAAATTTGCAGTAGTTTATAGATCTACTTAATCGACACCAATTTTATAGTTTTGAATTTTATAATCAGGGGAGACAACAGATTTTCAAGGAATGACACGACTTTTCGACACCAAACTACATCTTTTGGCATGCATCTTTTGGCATTAAGGTTGAACACAAACCTTCGCCTTTATATTTATATTTTGGACATGGTTTTTATGAGTCCTAGGACTCATATGTACATATGTGTGCCCTCTTTATGATCCATATTTTAGATGAATTTTGGACTTAATTTTTTAGGTATATAAAATCTCTAACATAGAAATTATAAATGTGTAAAAATAAATAAAATTTATCAACGAAAAATGACAAGTTTTTAAAAAGAAAACTCAGACGGTTGATTTTACCCTGTTTTAGAGGGACCAAAGCTTTACATGCAAGATAGATGTGTGTTGCCTCAAGGAACACAAAAGTAGTTACCCCAATGCATAAACCACTTTTTCAAAAATTTAAACTCCAAGTCCTATTCTTAAGGGCATAAAATGCATTTTATTTTTATTTCCTTTTGTATGCATGGTGTTAAGCTCAAATTTAATATGTCTAACAATATAGTTAACAAGGTTAGAATGACAACACGTAAAGCTATTCATTTCTCACTGTGAAATATTGGTTGATTGAACTGGTTTGTGAGGTTAAGTTGGCACTGAGTAGGTCCTAATCCTATATTAACCACCCCTGTGAGGACAGTCTCACTGGAAAATGATGGTTGCAGGGGTAAGTCACAGCTTGTTATAAAATGATGGTTGCAGGGGTAAGTCACAGCTTGTTAGTACCCCAACGGAGCAAATATCATAAGATACCAAAGGAAACATTAGTGAGAAGAAACATGAGCAATAGAAAAAAATGTGACAAAAGGTTTAGCAACCTGTACAAGAAGGGAATATTTTAGAAATGAAAAAGTATATATAATGCTGCAGCAATAGACACCATCCATTTCATTTCGACGATGTAAAGTTGAAATCATTTTAAAAGACTTGACACTTTTTGATATTGTCTTGAAAGTCATATGTTAAATCTATATGTTGAATCTATACCATCCAATTAAAATAAACGGTGTAGAATATCACAACCTTATTTTTACAAATAAGGTTGCAACGATATATAATTGAGTTATTTTACAAAAAATACAACTTATTAAAAGACTAGAAAATTTGTATCTCAATGTAAATAAGATGGACTAAGTAGGCTCTTAAAATGCAATAAAAAATAACATAGCTCTTAAACTGCAGAGAATACAGTAAGGAAAAAAGGATTAAAATAACCAGTAGTGAGAATGTATGGCTAAATAGAGTGCATCAAAGTCTAAAAATTTATGCCAACTCTTCACAAAAGGTTTTGATGGTTAAAATACATATCCACACCATTAATCTTCTTTATTTGGAATGGCTACAGATCTTATGAAGAAGCTAACAAAGCTATTCGAGGCAAACGTGGTGCTGAAGTACCAGATCCAGCCTGAGGACCTTGACGCCCTGGTCTCCGTCACATCTGATGAAGACCTTCGCCACATGATGGAGGAGCACGATCGCTACGAGCGACAGGAGGGTACCCCAAGGATTCGGACCTTCCTCTTCTCAAGCCGGCCCCATGCCCTCGAGCTTCGATACAGTAGCTCAATGTCAGACCTCCATCACCTATCAGAACATAGATACCGGGAAAACCTGGCAGATGCCCACAGCCTTGAGCAACGATACATAGATGCAATCAATGGCGTGCGTGGGGCTCGACAGGCTTCCCTAATGTCCTCTACCTGCTCATCTCCTAAGTCAAGTTTACCAGACTGCCCCTTTTTGTCAGATCACGACCACGACCACGACCATGAACCCCTGTCCCCCAGCTCAGTGGTGCCCAAACCTATAGAGTTACAAAGAGTTCACAGCTCTCCGAACCTCCTGCAAGGATGGCACCAGATGAGCACTGGTTGTGTCTCCCTAGCTTACCACCCTCCGAGGTGGCATGGAAACCAAGGTGGGAGTGCTAATTTCTATAATAACAATTACAGGGGTTATAGTGGTGGTGGTGGTTCAACTGCTGGGAAGGTTCATCGTATGTGTTATCTAAACAATGGGTATGCAAGGGCCCCCACCCATCCTGCTTCGAGGTATTACTACTCTCCTTTTGCACAGCAACAGAGATGTCACGAGGACCCGGGTTGTGCTCATCCAGTAGAGAAGGGGTGTTGGTATAGAGGAAGTGGAGAGGGAGACGACCTTCCCCATGGCTCCCTGCATGGCAGAAAGGGTGTTATGTGAGTGAGCATGTAGTAAGTAGTGAAGCCAATGGTAGCAACATTTAAGCTGTTGTTCAAGAGAGCTTTTAATTTGAGGTGTGAATGCATTCTTCTTGTGGTGCTTGCGATGTTTATGGGGTTAGTATAGTGGCCATGATCTTGAATCTTGAGTGAGTTTGCAGGGACTTTGGTCATGGCCCATTGAAGCCAATCTCAGCGATTGTACTAGAGAACTGGAAACATGGCTGGATTGCAAAATTTATCCATTGATGTACATTATCTGTAAAAGTTTCTCATGGTGTATGTAAAAGTTTCTCGGGGTGTTTCTAACTCGAAGTTGTGGTCATAAATGTCTTCATCGTTGTCGTCCAACAACCGGTTGGATTGTAACGGGCAAAGTGAGATCTTACAAACACGATAAGACTTCAAATAAAAAATGTTAAAAAGGTATTAAAAATCATGACATTAGTGGAGCATGCCACCATCCTGATCCATGATCCACAATTTGATCATGTAAACTATCTATGTTTGCATATATTTTATCCCTCTCCAAGTGGTTCCCATCTGATGCAACAAAACCATGGACTTTGTTCTTGATACAAATCCAACTGCACCCTGGATCCTTCTTCACTCCCCTCTCTTTCATCATCCTTCTCACTCTAGCTTTGCTCTCTCTCTCGTTGGCTGAATTGTATATGTTCGATAGAAGAACATAGGCTGAAGAATCGCTTGGTTCTAAAGTCATGAGCTTCTCTGCAGCTCTCTCTCCGGTTTCCATTTCCCCGTGTAATCTACAAGCACTAAGCAAAATCTTCCAAATCAAAGATCTCGGCTCAATTGGCATGCTTTCAATCAAATGCTCAGCTTCTCTCAGTAGACCAGCTCGAGCGAGGATATCAACCATGCAAACATAGTGATCCTCACTTGGAGTGAGCCCATAATCCCTTTCCATGGATTGGAAATGGCCTTGGGCCTCTGAGACCAGGCCTCCATGGCTGCAAGCACACAGTACTGCTACAAAGGTCACATGGTTTGGCTCCAACCCTAAAGATTTCATCTCTTTAAAGATCTCTAGGGCCTTTTGGGCATAGCCATTCTGAGCATAAGCTGAGATCATGGCATTATATGTGATAATGTCTTTATGAGATATGAGGTTGAACAATTTGGCTGAGTCTTCGATGATTCCGCATTTTCCATACATCGTGAGCAACGAGTTGCTGACCGAGAGATCGGACTCAAACGCCCTTTGGATGGCTTGGGCATGGACCTGTTTTTAACACATGAACATTCAAGATCTCAACAAGGATAAGAAAAATGTAACAAAATTCTTAGGAAAGTCCTCTCTCTCTCTCACACACACACACACAATAATCCATCTCCAAGCTCTACTAATGGCCAAAATACTCTCCATATTGCACCCCACCCCCAACCAAAAGAAAAAATAAAAATCCAATAATCAGCAAAATTTATTGCATATTTAAGTAATCTAAACTACCTGTTTCCCAAGCTCGAGCTCTGTAAAGGCGGCACATGACTTTGTGACACTGGCAAAGGTCATGTGGTTAGGGCGCAATCCCATCTTGTTCATTGATGAATAGAACCCTAGCGCATCTTCAAAATGACCATTCTGCCCCAAACCTGAAACCAATCCATTCCATGAGGCTGAGTCTCCATACTCGATATCTTCAAAAACCATAAGAGCCTTGTCTATCATCTCACAATCGGAATACATAGTAAGAAGAGAATTCATCAAAACCATGTCGAAACTGAGCCCTTGTTTAAGCACCCGTGCATGAATTTGCTCTCCATAAACAAGCTTGTTAGCGCAATTGCAGGCTCTGATTAGAACTGCAAGAGAGAACTCATTAAACTCAAAGCCATCTTCTCTCATCTCTTGTGAAGTTCCAATCGCTTCTTCAGTTAAGCCCAGATTGGCATATCCCAGAATCATCGTGTTCCATGAGAATATATCCTTCTCTCCCATCTCTCTAAAAATTCTCTCTGCATTTTCGAGCTTTCCACAGTGAGCGTACATCTCAAGAAGTGAGTTTTCTACTGGGAATACCTCAAGCAATCCTCTTTTTATAACCTGTGAATGAACTTGTTCTCCAAATTCCATGGAAACCAGTCTAGTGCAGCAAGAAAGAATGTTCAAGAATGTGTAGTGATCTGGCTTTAGTCCCTCTGATAATGACTCGGAGAAAAGCTTGAATGCTTCTCTAAAACAGCAATTGTTTCTTAACAATCCAATAACAAGGTTCAAACAAAAAGCACCAGGCTCTTTCATATCTCTAAAAATAGTACTCGCATAGCTCAAACAATTGGATTTATGGTACATGGTGAGAACTACTTTATCCATTTCAAAGCCTACTTGGGGTCTCATTTTCAGTATAAGAGCATGGGCTTGCTTTGCATGCTCGAGGATGCTGAGAGTTGCACAAGCTGATAAGAAATTAGCAAAAGTAGACTCATTCATTATATGGCCCAAAGCCATGAATTCCCGAACAAAGCCCAGAGCAATTTCTCCATGGCCATTCGAGGCATAAGCTCCGATCAGAGAATTCCAACTGATAATGTCTTGACTCTGCAAACTCTTGAAAGAAAACCAAGCATCCTCCAGTGAAGCGGACCTGGCATAGAATGTAATAAGAGAATTCCCCACTGAAGCATGTGAGTCTAAGCCTAACTTAACAGTTAGCCCATGAATTTGAGTACCCAAGATTGAATTTCTCAAATCCAAGCACAAGCATGCGCTGATAACAGCAGAGAAAGCAAAAGGACTTGGTCTAAATTCATGGCTAAGCATTAGAAGAAAGAGTTCTAAGCAATTTCTGATGATCCCTTCTTTGAGATACCCAATTAAAACAGCCTCGTAAGAAATTTCATCTCTGTCACTCATAGAATCGAATATTGAATTTGCAGAAAGAAGATCACCAATTTTGCAATAAGCTGATAAGAGTGCATTGGCAGTGCAAAGATCACCACTAAAACCACATTTCAGAACCTCAGCATGGACTTGCTTAAGCGCTTCTATACTCTCCATGCTTATTAGCCCAGTACATGATGTAAGAACACTGACGAAAGTAGATTGAGAAGGTCGAAAACCATTGGTTTTCATCTCTCTAAAGCATTGTACCCCATTTTTATAAAGACCCAATTCAACAAAACCAGATATCAGAGTGTTCCAAGTAATTGTATCTCCCATAGACATTTCATCCATCACGTTTTGCGCGCATTGAAGACTACCACATTTGCAGTACATGTGCATGATATTATTGCCTATGAACGCATCTAAGAAAAGCCCATCTCTTAGAATGCAAGAGTGAGCCATCTGGCCTGCCTGTAAATGCCCGGATTTTGCAGAGTTCTGTAGGATTGAGGTGTAAATTTCGGCTTTTTTTATTTGGGTTTTTTGAGAATTCCGCAGATGCGAAAGAGAAGAAATGGTGGATTCAAATTGGGTTGTTTGTGATTTGGGTTTTGAAGGAACGTGAGAGAGAATGGAGTTGCTCGCTCCATTACAGAATCTCTCACTGGCAAAAGGTGGAAAGTAGCAGAGAGATGAATGGTGGGGTTGCCTGTGATCTTTTAGAAGGTTTGATCGCAAGCAGTGGAGTCTCATGCACTTCTATTACCACCGCTCCAGTTTAGACAGAGATGTACTAGGCAAATTAGGAGAATTTTTGTTTAGGGATTGTATAAATGAAACCATTTACTTTTGGTATAAAGGGTCACAATTACTTACAACTATCCCAATCCCATGTGATATTTGAAAGCTTAAAGTGTGTCATAAATTTTAAAAAAATATTTTTGAAGTATGGGCTTAATCAATAAAATAAATACATCTATCTAATTTTACATCTAATAATCAAAATTAATTGTGACAAATTTGTATGAAAGATAAATAGTCTTGTATTTACTTTTCTATTTTTTTAAAATTCCAAATTATGGAGATGTAACATGTTCAACCTAATTACCAATTTCAATAAAAAGACATACAAATCACCGCACTTTATTTGCCTGCACAATATAATCTCCCCAAATTGAACCCAGCTCTATCAAAATTTTTAATGGTACGATCCAAGTGTGAAGAATTCCAAATCCACTTATTTTTTCAGCCGCACTCATAATGGTGATATTGTAGGTTCGAACCCTAGTAAGCCTATTCCTTTCCCCTAATGTTAAAGTCCCCGCCCAAGGGAATAGAAGGCCGCTCGCTTACTCCCCTACCCTAGTGGCCGGTTATGTTATGGGTGGCTACTCCACTCTTCGAGCGCTACTCTTTGCTAAGCCTACTTATATTTGATAGCTATCTTTTGTAGAGAGAACTGTATGGCCATATAGTCTAAGGGATTGTATATATCGAGACCATTTACTTTTAAAATAGAGAGGTCACAATAACTTACAATCATCTAATGTGAAATCTGATAATTTGGGTATATCACAAAGTTTTAAAAAAAAAAATTTGAACTTTGAGTTTGATCAATGAAATAAATGTAGGCACCCAATTTCACATCTAATGGTAAAGATTTATTGTGACCACCTCGTACCAAAGGTAAATAGTCTCATTATATACTTTTCCGTAATTTAATTGGTTGAAATGTACTAAAGCCTACTAATAGCTTATAGCGATCTTTGTAGAGAATTGTATGGGCATGCAGTTTAATTGGTTGAAACGTATAGTGATATCGTACGTTCGAGCCCTACTAAGCCTATTCCTTTTCCCTAATGTCAAAATCCCCACCTCCAGGGAATAAAAGGTACCTCGCTTACTCTCCTAGTCTAACAAGTTGTTTGCCTACTTGCTTTTGTTAATCAGTCAAATAATGAACGCAGCGCCCTAACATTTGTATTGAATAAAAGAAATATTATTTTTATATTTACTTGGTACATACACTATATTACACATAATATTTGGTAATTATTAAAAAAATTGACGATTTTTTGGTATATTTGGCTAAAATACATGGTTTTCAACAAACTACTCTAAATAAAATAAAAACTACTTTTTCAAAAAGATAAACTTAATATTTTAAAACTTCTTATAAATTTATTTCAGATAACAGTACTGGACAACATATAGTTCATTATCAAGATTAACTTTATTAAAAGAGCGGGTTATCAATGCGTACATGCAAACATGCCTACAAGTTACGAATAAATTTTCCCACATAGTTTTGGATATAACATATCAAACATACCATGGTTTGTGCTAGACCTAGTCGTTATAATGAAAAGGAAACATATAGAAAACACATGTACGTGTCTCATTAAGGGGTGGTTTGTTTTGCGGGAAAGTTTGATCCAAAAAAGAAGAAAAAAACACATTCTGGACGAACTACTACTTTCAATGATTAGATCATTAGAAAGTGGGTTTGCTTGCATGAAACAGCCCGGAAAGGGACCGGTACGCCCAGCCCTAAAAACGTAGGGCCTGGGCCTACAAATTATGGTCAGAGCTAGTGCCAGCCCGATTCAGCCAGGCTAGACCTGGAGTTGGCCCCCATAGGATCAGGCTTGGGCTGATCCTATGGGGACAAGGGCCAGCCTGGCCTGGCCCATTGCCACCCTAACATGAAAGCACCTTCCTATATAACACTCCATTTATGCTATGTCGTCCATGTATGACTAAAGAGATATGTACCCCATTTCCTATGGATGCACCTTCCAAAGTGTGAAAACCCTCTAGGAGAGAACTTCTACATGAACTAAATCACCTCTACGCCGTCTAATCATGTAAAAGGACTATTTTTGTATCATCCAACACCATAGATTTACTTGTGAGACCTCAAGTTAGCATTGAGAGAGGTCAAGATATCACAGATGAGGTTAGCATTTTTTTTTTTCAATCCAATAAAAAAAATAAATTAATAGATAAATTTAGATAGATGGATAAATAGATAGATAGATAAGAGGGAGGTCCAGTCTTTTCTTTTTCTTCTGATTTGATAGAGACAGTGCCTCCCCTTCCCCATTCCCTACGTCTAAGGGGCATCTAGTGTGAGATAGCTGTCCATGTGCATCTAGAGAGAGAAACCCAAAGCACCACAAAAATAAAAGAAAAAGAAACCAAAAAGGAGAGGAAGGGGAAACCCAGGGCATACCATGACTCAAAAAGATCAAGCTCCCATGAATCTTGGTGTAATTTGGATTTCAATGTATGTACGTTTAATGTCCTTACCCAATTTATCCATCCAAATTCTAAACCACATTAAGGGTACATTTGATAGCACCCTAATATTTAAATATTTCTACATAATACAGAATTTTCTATAATTTGAATTATTTGTGTGCCATGTTTGATAAGACCAAATCATATCATATAAGGATGCGGTCTCTATGAATCCATGTAAAAATGAGTCATGTTTTAAAAATCTATTTTTGAGATAGATTTTTGGACTTAATTTTTAAGGGTATGTAATCTCTGACATGGAGATCATGAATATGAGTAAATAAATAAATTTTAAAAATTAAAAATAATAATTCTACTGACAAAACATTTGGACCGTTAGTTTCAATTGTTTTTAGATTGACCATCTATCTTTATACCTCCAAGAACACAAATGCATAGATGCGGTCCCCTGAAACAATTTTCCATCTTATAATATCCAAATAACCCATAAATATCTAAATCCCTAAGAATTTGAGTCCTACTTAAATTTTACCAAATTCTATTTGTCCGTAAAAAATTTGTCTCTCCCCACTCATCTCCCTGTTTCCTCTCTCTTCCTCTCTCCAATCTCGGCCTTTCACTCGTATTTTCTCTCTCTTCTCTCAAACTCTCCCATCTCTGCAAGTTCATTGTGCCTCGCTTTTGCTTCTTCTGGTTAGTTAATGGCTATGACCCTTAAGAAACCACACGATATGAGTCGAGAATAAAAAGAAGATTTGAGCTTTCAAGAGATGGGTTTGGATGCTCACCTCGTTTAGACTCTCTCCAAGTACCAAGATATTCAACGACCTGCCATCGCTCTCATTCGTAGCTTGAAACCCTGAATTACAACCGCTTCTTCTTCTTTTTTGGCAATTTTTTTGCTCTCTGCAAGTCTTTAACCTCTCTCTTCTTCCGCGATTTCCATTTTTCCCTGCTCTAGGGGAGTGCTTCCTATTATTCTTTTCATTATTTAAAGAGTAAATGATACAATTTGGTTTTGCAAGTTGAATTTGTGTTTTCCTCTTTAATTTTTTTTTTGTCTTTAATTTAAGATTGCAGCAAGACAAAGATATTATTGCAATCGCTTGAACTGGCTTGAATAAAACCTTTACATACCTTCTTCTTATGATTAAGAAGTTATTTCTATAGACAAAATTTGACTAAGGCAGCTCCATCACTCTCTAAAAGCAATATGGAGTAGAGAGAGAAACCATTATGAAGATGAAAGTAGATAGAGAAAGCAGTATGAACCACATCAAGCCAGAGTAGAAAGAGAAATATAGGAAGCTGCATATTGCATACACTTTATTTTGTTTTGTAAAATACAATCAAATATGCATAGAAAAATATATATCAATATAATATATAACTCCTATCTGGCAATGGCTTTATTCGGATATTTATAAATTTAAATATTCAGATTCTATTTTGTCAAACAAACTCGAAAAGAGTGTGAAATATATCAATATAATGATCAAACCACAAAAAAAAGTCAAGTGAGGTGGTTAAACCAACTATTATGCTAAATAGAGTTATTCTTATTTAAAATTTATGTCAATTAGGCACGACCTCATAATTTTAATAGAAAATGCCTATACTGCCTTTTTTCTGAGTTTGGAACCTTGAAAAAATTATAGGCATTTTGCTTATGTTGCTATAATCTTACTCGAGCCAAATGACTTCAATAATTTTGATTGTTCTGGGTTCCAAACTCAGAACATGTATTTTAAATTTTAAAATCTTGTTATGTATTTGGAAATTGGAAGAAATAAGAGCACGCATGTGTTTTGACCTAGATGCCTTTAGTATCGTCAAATTACCAACATTATCAAAACTGCCTTTGTTTGTTTTGAGTCCCAAACTCAGAATAAGAAATTTTAATGAGAAAAATATACTCTGAGTTGAAACCTGGAACGAGGGTATTTAGATCGTATGGCTCAAGTAATTTAGGGTATTTAGGTCATATAAAAACATCATGTAACTTAAATATGCCAAATAACCAAAACATCCTTACTTGTATAGAATTACAAACCTAGAACAAAAACAATTTAGGTATTTTTTAACAAAATTCTTGAAGTGGTAACTAACATAAAGGATATTTTTAAAGGGAAAAGTTTATATAAGGTTGCAACCGAATCACAGATGCATCTCAAAAATCTATCGGAAAGGCGGATGTTGAAAAATCCTCTAATTGATCATCTCGACATCGAGATGTATGAATATTAAAAAAAAAAAATTTTGAGTCCCAAAAATAGTACATCTTACAACACATTATCTAGACCGTCCATTTTCAAGAGTTTTATATGTTTATAGATCTACTTGATTTTAGCCATTTTCGGAGTTTAAAATTTTCTAATTAGATATGAAAATAGTTTTTAAAATAATCCTAACAATTACATGTTATGATAAAATTTGGTATTGCGCTTTAATTGGATTGTTTAAGGTTGCAACCTTATAGAAACCGCACCCTTTTTTTAAAACTGATTACTTTTTTAAGTAAACACCACATTGCATTTCTCTTATGAACCAAATTTTAATAATTTTTTTCTTAAAAAATAAATAAAGAAACTGACAACACAATGTGGAAAAACTGAGTTTTATTACTAATTTATTGACAAAACTTTGACAAGAAAAAAACATCTATGAATAGAAAAGAAATTAAAACCCCTAATCCTAAACCTAAAAAAGTCTAAAGCTATGGCCATCACCCGAACTCTTAAGATGCTCAATATATCACATGACAAAGAGCAAAGAGAAAAGAGGCGACTTTGAATGTGTCAAATACTCAAAAAGAGCAAAAGAAAAGAGAGGTCTTTAATTTCAACATGCCGAAAGTTGTAGGCTAAAGAAACTATGTCCCATGAAAGTGCAATGAACATAGCAAAGTTTAAAAAAGAGAAGGGTGAGGTTTTGCATAAGGTTGCAACCTTAAACAATTAAAGCATCTTTAAACATTCAGACTACAAACAATTCAAATTGCAAATAGTACAAAGAGAGAAAGAGAGGTAGGGATGGCAGTGGACATGACCATACAGGTAGACCCGACCTCAGGTTTGGTTATGGGTCGAAATTTTGGACCCGAAAGGTAGGGCCCGTGTCCGAGTCCAGCCGGACCCAACCCGAATAATGTGGGTATTCATAAATATTGCCAATACGTTTGTTTCTTAAGAATTTCCAGCTATTATGTAAAACTATAAAGAATGTGGCTATATGTGGGTATTCATAAATGTTGTGAAATTATGTAATATTTCCCCTAATATGGTATGTCGTATATGATAGTTAAAAAACGAAAAAAAGAAATTCATAGTTATTGGGTTGCAATGAACCCGAGACCCGACAAGTAGACCCCAACCCTAAGTGTAGGTATGGATCTAAGTTTTAGACCCAAAAGGTCGAATCCAATTCCAAAACTTGAACCCAAATACTATTCGGCTGGACCCAAACCGTTGCCACCTCTAAAAAAAGAGTCTCAAACCCATGTTTAAAAGGTAGAACTCAGCATAGATTCGCCTCAGGTCACAGCACGAGTCGCCCAGTCTTACTCGAGTGTTTTTTAGTCCAACCAAGTGACTTTAAGAAAAAAGGATTTGGGAAGTTGAAGAGATTCTAGCGATCTGGGTTAGACTCGCTAGGTTTCCAATCTCGAGTTCACTCAAGCGACTATGATACGGCTTGGTGATTTTCAAATCACTATTTCAAACTATATCACGTAATCAGTGCACGAAACCACTACTCTGGGCGAGTACTTGGCTAGTGCCGTATTAGAGTACTCGGCCCAAGTTCTAGTGACTCGCCCGAGTAATACCGAGTACCGTCAGAGTAAAAAAATTATAAAAAATACAAAAAATCTAAAACGAGATAAGAGATGTATGTTCAAAGTAAGATAAAACAAAATACATTAAAATGAGGTTAAAAAATAAATTTTACAAAAATCAACTTGTGATGGGTAATTTTGAAATAATATACAAAAGATAAAAAATATAAAAATAAATATTTATAGCCAATACACTTTCCGATTTTTGTCAAAATGATATAAAATATAAAAAATAAATTTCTTATTTTTTAAAATATTTATTATTTTTATTTTTTAATATGCTTGAGTGGGACACCCACACCCAACTTTAGAAAACTCGGGATCGCTAGTCAAACGATGCTGCTAATAACTATGCAAAAAAGTCCACGACGTGAAAAAATCAAGAAGTACATAACCATTAAATATTGAGTATTGACCCTAAGCAAACCACTGTATTTCATTTGTTTAGTTCCTATAAATTGCTTAGGGTACTACTTCATTTGTTTCTAGGACATAGAAATCTTCTTTTTTCTTTTCAGAAGCTTAGAAAAAAAACCCCCTTTATTCGGCTTTATCTTGCCGTTGTCCTCATCATCTTCATCACAGCCTCTGTTCCCGACTATTTGGGCTCTTTGTATGCCATAATAATCTCTCTTTCATCTCTCCAAACTCATAAAAATGAAAAAAAAATGCAAATTCAACACCAATTTGTATGTGATAAGACATTTGTATCTAACTGTGGAACGAGTGTTCACTCAGCCATGGTACGTGAGTCCTGTCCAGGCAAATTACTTCTGCAAGCCCGAGTACCTGACCTCGCCCAGTTCAGGTCATTTATTTTTAAGAAAATCTGAGTAATTCACCCCCTTGAGGTTATTTATTTTAAAGAAAATAAATATTAAAAATAATTATATATAATATAAGCAGTTCCTTTTACCAATAAAACGGTGTGCTAATTAGTGCCTCGGCACAATTAAACTAAAAAACACTTACTCGCCAGGCTCGAGCCTCCTCCATTAGGCAGAACACTATGCTGAAGAGCATTCTGTATGCAGTAAAATGAATATGCTTTTCTATGTTTGTGCGTCTGAGAGAGAGCAATGCTGTACACATTGTCTGAAATTAGAGAGAGAGAGAGAGAGCAATGCTGTACAGAAATTGTCTGAAATGAGAGAGAGAGAGAGAGAGCAATGTTGTACACAGGTTGTCTGAAATTCAGTATATTTATGTAATTCTTGGATGCCATCATAACATAGCTAAACAAGAAGCCATTAGAGAGAGAGAGGCCCAAGTCGATATACCCAGCAGCCCAAGTAGTGTTTGATATTCAAAGTAATAAAAAAAAAAGGCAACGATGATATTTGCCCAAAAAAAAGAAAATCGATCCTAGCTCATCTAGTGATTCGCTTCCAAGAGAGAGATTGGACATAATAAACAGAGAGAGAAACCCATTACATGCTAAATATTCAAACTTTGAAACATTTAGAGAGAGAAAGTTACGAAGCAATGCTTAAAATCCAAACAGGCGCTTACATACCTTGAGAAACTTGCCCCTTTTCTTCTTCAAACCAGGGGCTTCATGAATATTGAGGAGCTCCTGATCATACTGATCATGGATTCTACTATATCCTTCTGCAACAGAGGAGGATCTCCTCATGGAGAAAGCCCTCTTTACCAAACTGGTTTTTCTCTCACTACTCTCTCTCCTCAACCTGCCGTGCTCTGCTGCTCCAACTGAGAGATTCCTGTTAAGAATGACCGCAAATTGCTGACCCATTTCTTCTCCACTTTCTCTCTCTTCTTTCCCTTCTCTCTCATCTTTTCCTTGTGGTTTTTTATGCTTCTTGGCCATGGCAGAAATGGGGCTCGGAGGGGGATAGAAGGAGAGATCTGAGAAATCAACGGACATAGATTTGGTAGTTCTTATGTGCGAGTAGCCCTGCATCTTGAAGAGAGGGAAAATCTAGAAGGCGAAATTTGTTGCCGTTAGCGGTGGTGGTATGGGGCCTAAAGTTAGTGGTGTTTGCAGAGAAATATTGATGGTAGTAATGTCAAGCGTGCTGCTGGCTGTGGAAATCGTGGCAATCGTTTAAATGAATAATGGGAGAGAGAGAGAGAGAGAGAGAAATAAAATAAAATGGTACTTACAAGTCCTACAAAATAGTAGAGCAAGACATAAAAAAGGTACAAAATAGTCATGACAGATAAGTCCTATAAATAGTAGGGCAAGACAGACAGAGAGAAATAGTCCTCAGAGATACAGAGTAGTGAGGTGTATAATAGTAGGGAGAGAGGAGTCCTATAAATAGTAGGGCAAGACAGACAGAGAGAAATTGTCCTCAGAGATACAGAGTAGTGAGGTGTATAATAGTAGGGAGAGAGGAGTCCTATAAATAGTAGGGCAAGACTGACAAAAACTTACAAAATAGTCATGAGAGAGAGAAGTCTACAAAATAGTAGAGAGAGAGAGAGGTGTACAAAATAGTTGGTTGGATGTAGAAGAGGATTGGTGCCAAAAATAGCGGGGTAGAGAGAGAGATTGGTGGAAGACAGGAGTGGGTAGAGAGAGAGAGAGAGATGAGGAGTGGGTAGAGAGAGAAAGAGGTTAGAGAGAGAAGGGGGAGTTGGGATAAGAAAAGAGATGATGGGCGTAGGACAGGGGAGGCGCCGTAGTGAGAGGGTAATTGAGAGAACGCTGCATATAATTTGTACCAAAACGGTTTGCAATTAGGGCTGGGCCCGCAAATAATTCGGGCTTGGGCCACATTTGGGTTGGACTAGTGCTGGGGAGGGCTGGCAAAATTTGGGTATGTAGTCACTTGAGCTTCAACAAAATAAATAAATCATACTCTAAATTTGCCTGACGATCTAATTTTTCAACATTTCGATCCGAGTGTTTAGAAACACGAGATCTAACTTTTTTTTAAAAAAAATAATAATAATCATATGGTGATTCATAGGTGGAACATAGACATACTCCTCTCTCTCTCTCTCTCTCTCTCTTCCTCTCAAGACCCATCGTCTTCCTTAACCTTTCCTTGGTTTTCTTAATTCGTGTGACCATGCATTGCTGGTCCCCAACTTGTCAGCTTCAATAAACAATAAATGCAAGGTGTACATCCAAATTGTGAGAAAATGAAGTTTAAAAATTTATGCTCATCTTCTGAATTTGAAATTTGAAATTTGAAAAATTAGCGTCCATAAAGATATTTAAATTTTTTGAAAATAGACCGATTAGATAAAGATGTAGTTTCTATTAGTACCCCGACACATATGTAGAAGTGCATCCCCTCTTAATAATCTATTTTTTAAATGAATTTCGGTCCTAATTTTTAAGGCCTATACATTGTCTAACATGTAGATGGTTAATATGTAAAAGTAAATAAAATTTGAAAACAAACCATTATTTTTTAAGGAAATATTTAGGTATAGGTTTCATTTTTTTTTTTTTTTTTTGAGGGACCACCACGTACATCCATCTTTGAGATGGATGATTAAATGCAGGAATGGTCTCTTATGCATGTAACACTATAATGTGCTACAAATTGCATGGTTTTTGGGATGTAAAATCTTTTTTTCTCCGTATTCATGCATCTTGAAGCCGATAAGATTTTTTTTATTACATCATACCTAAAATCAGGGCCTTAAAAGAGAGCTGTGCTTCCCCTATCATCCGGCCGTTCAATTTTGATCAAGAGAGCTATTCACCATTTGATCTTAGATCCGACATCTCAAAGTATTTTATTTTTAGTTTTTTTTATACAAATTGTATGAATAAAAAATTTGGTGCATGCTATCTTCTCATTGGGGCGCACCTATAAAAAATATTAAAAAAAAATTTTCGATAAAATATAATGATCAAAATACCCCTTGAACCTTTCAAGGGTATTTTGGTTATTTATATTATTGAAAATATTATTTTTATATTTTTTGCTAGTGCAAGTTTAATATAAGATTGGATATAAAAAATTTGGTATTAAAATAATTTGTAGAAAAAAATTAAAAAAAAAATAGTGTAAGGACGTGACATTGTGATTGGGGCAATCTTAGTCCTCCATTCAGAATGGACGGTTGGATAAGGAGACATATATAAGCTTTATGTTGTAGGAAAAGCATAGAAAGCTTGTCCAATATAAATTGTTTCCCCCTCAATGTTAAAATAGGGATGGTAGTGAGCTAAGCCTGGACCGAGTTAGCCCCAACCCAAACCGAGCTGAAGAGGCCCTAGCACAGGACCAGGGGGTTGGGCTGGGCTGGGCTGGGCTGGCCAAACCATTCCTATTGTGCCCCTAGTTCTCAATCAAAGTGATCCACTGTTGTGACCCTTGTCTTGCTACTCACTCTAGATTTTGCCAAGGGATGTTATAAAGTGGTGGACTAATAGTATTTTAGGAAAAGCATAAGTGGTAGGATGTTGTGTATCACAATATGTCGTTTTGAATTTTATTTATTTCAAAAACAAAAAATCCGTCCCCACTTATCTACTTAGGAAAAAAAAAGATTTTAGATAAGAGAGCAAGTAATTAGCATGATTCTACCTAAAACTCGGAACCTTCCGAGTCCGTTAGAGCACATTTCTTCCCCCAATTACCGTTTCTTTAACAATGTCTTTGATCTTTTTCTTTTTTTGGTTGGGACGCATGGCCAGGTTCTTCTGGATGGTGCGATCGCCCTTTTCTGCTCCCTCTGCTTTGACTAATATCAAGTGATACTTTTTAGTTGACTAAGACTACCCCGTAAAAGATTTATTTATTGGACTTCCATTAACGAAAATTAATTTTACATGCAAGAACCAAGAAGTAAAATATTGGTAGATGTGTTTGTCGGATCAAATTAAAAACTAAAAATGTTAATTTTGAATTTTTTTATTATTTTAGTAAAGATTGGAAAGTGTTGTGGTCATAAATACTTATTTTTACATTTTTCCCATTTTGTTTGGAAAATTTTGAAGACAACCTTGAGCACAAAATCGATTTTTTAAAATCTATTTTTTTTTTCACTACTTTTTAACTTTATTTGGATGTACTTTGTATAATCATATCTTAAATATATTTTTCATATTTTTTTAAAATTTTTTCATATTTTTTATTTTTTAATATTTTTTAACCGATCGGTACCTATTTTTTTTTAAATAAAGTACTCTGAATTCCATTTACCCACAAACGATTACAATGAGATTCAAGAAGAAAAGATGTAATATTCATTGGTGCATACCACCCTCTGCTAAATCAGCTTCTATATTAGTCTCCCTACTCGGTTAGGCATGTTGAACTAGACGGTTACTCGGGTCTGGCCCTTGACTAGTTTTCGATACCGGTTCAATTTTTTGAACACTGGCTTAAAGACTTGCCTCGGTTTGAATATTGGCTCCCTACTCGGTCCAAGTCGGTTTGGCCTATTTGGTAGAGGGCTTAGAGTCCTAGCCTACTTGGTTAATCTAAAGAGACAAAAACAAAAATAGAGGAAAATTTGGAAAATAAATAAATGAAAAGCACGTTTTGAGAAGAAAATGAGTGAAAAATAGTCCAAAAGAACAAAAACAATAAATTTAGAGATATCTTCCTTCGATTAGCAAATGCTAGGGCTTATGTAGATCTATATCTTAAGAACATTCTTCGACAACTTCAAACAAATTTGGCAAAAGATTTTTAGTTTTTGGTGAGAAGTAACCCTAACCTTGTACGCTAATCCTTTCAAATAAGAGCTACAATCTAACAATTTATGATGGATGCAGTTTCTATCAGGCCTAGGCCTTATATGAAAAAAGTAAAGCTTTACCTAAAAATTTTGTCCAAAAAAACAATTTGGGCACAGGAAATCTCTATGATAGCTCTAACACCAGTGCCCACCAACGATTATGAAATATGCAGCTCAAAAAATGATACAAAGCTTATGGATTTATAAACACTTGAAAATAAATAATGTAGATAATGTCTTACAATATACACTAAAATTTAAAATTCTACAGTTTTTTCACAACCATAATGTTGTTGAAGGTACACTAGAACTGCAATATTCGGCTAGTCTTGAGGTAAAGTTGTTTAACCTTTTTCGATTATGATGTGTATATGTTATGAACCTATGGAGCTGAAAAGAAATTTTTTGAATTTTTTTTTAGGCACTGATGATATCAAATCTCATATTGGATGGCTGTAATTAATTATGACATTCTTGTATAAAAAATAAATGATTGTGTTGTATACCATCTCAAAAATCATTATTGGGTTGGAAGAGAGAGGTGTGAGAATTGGGTGGGGTAGAGTCATGAAGCGACAAAAAGGAGGAAGTGAGAGGGGATGGGAGCGGAGGTGAGAGCAAGAGGTTTTGGTGCCAAAAGTAACGGGCTAGAGTGAGAAAGCATGTTACAAGACGTGGACCTCTCAGGAGAGTTCAGAGGAGTGGTTAGAGAGAGAAGGCGGAGTTTGAATAAGATGTAGAGAGAGGAAAAATATCGGGATTAGAGAGAGAAAATGAGTTGGGACAAAAATGACATGGTGGTTGTAGGACGCGGCCTCCCTGGCCCAGTTGGCCCTACAAAACCAGGGCATAGGCAGCCTAGAAATCGGCTAAGGCGGTCCGATCTAGGGGTGGCAGTTGGGTTGGGTTGACTCGACTCTAGCTGGATCTCGGTCCAAATCCATGTTTTGGACCCGACGGGTTGGGTTTAGATCTGGCATGGACAATATCTGGTTAATTCGGGTTTGGGAAGGAGTTGATCGGACCTGGCGTCAAAAATAAAAATTATATACTAACTAATATATATATATTATTATTATTATTATTATTTTTCTCTAGACTTGGGTCTGAGTCCAAGTCACCTGGACCTGAGTCCGGTTTGTGTCCAGTTGAAACCTAATTGGGCCGGATCCAATTTGGAGTTGATTTGGACTTGAGCCGACCCATAGCCCCCTAGCGTGATCGATCTTTGGCTTGCTCAGACTGAGCCATGTTGGGGCCCATCAGCATAATTTGGTCCGTTGCTAGTCCAAACCAACTCCAGCTGCCAACCAGGAATTGTTTATATAGCCACTAATTTTACACAAGGCACACCAAAAAGAAAACTTTGTTTGGGATGCTGGAAAATACCTGATCCAGGATGCATGAATATGAAAAAAGGGTTTTGAAATTTTAATGTAAAATGTAGTATATTTAGTAATAGGTGTGGTTTCTATAAAAATTGTGAAAGGAAAGTATATATTTCCTATCAAGTTAATATAAAAGGTGTATATAATAATCTATAAATTTGGGAAGGTGTATATTGTAATCAATATATATGGGAAGGGTAAATACAATATCTCATAGAGTATAGGTGTTTTATTCTTGTTATCTTAATTTATCTATTTAAGATAATTTTGTATATTCATATTGATCAATAGACAATCTCTTTTGAGAAACTTGATACTCTTCACATGGTATTAGCGTAGATTCATCTTAGTTGTATCCATTCCTCGTCTCTGAAGCATTGTCGTGAT